TTAAAAATTGATGCAAATGATGGAACCAGCAGTTGGCTTAATGGCTATGTCACTGGACTCCCATGTACTCGACTGTGGTTTGAGTCCCGGACCTGGTGGCTTAAACTCACGTTGGGGGGCGTATGTGCGTGCGTGCCCAAGATCCCAAGAGGAGAATGGAGAAGAGATTGTGGCATGGCCAACCCCCTGGAGGGTGATTTCTCTCTTTCCATTTTCCTGTCTCTCTCTATCTTTCTGGTGAGCACATGCACCCTATAGCAAAAATGTTTCGAAATTAAAAATTAAAAAAAAAATTGGTGCAAACAAATTTGAAATCCATGTATACTTTTCTGTAAAAAAAAAAAAAAAAAAAAAAAGTTCCACGAACTTTTTGAAGCCCCTTGGTAATTACTCATGGAAAGGTGCTTCTTGATATTTACAATGAATTTCATTTTAAGAAAAATCTACTGATGTGGGTTTATTAGAGAAGGACTACATTACTAGCTTATGAACTAGCTTTCTGCAAATCATTCTTGCTGATGTGCTCTACAGATGGGATATATTTTCACCTGATCAGAAAATACTTCAAAGCAAACCAAAGTAACATTGATGGGCTTTTGTAAGCCTTTATATAACTCTTTATAGAACTTCAATAATAGACCAGCTTTTCAAGAATTTATTTCAGTTGTACATGTGTGCGCGTTTAACCTCTAATCATTTTGCTTACATAAATGAATACCAATAATTACGATGTTTAAAACGTCCTTTGGCAGATGAACTCAGTTCTTCCCATCTTGTATGTAAACATAATCAGGCAGTGATATTAGGTCATTGCGTTGCTTATAAACAGGTAACATTCAGTGGTTGGTCAACCGGCACGAACACCAGTGGCCTACAAAACTCAGAAGCGAATTGCTGACCTGAGAATAACAGGTTCTTTCAAACTCAAATTATACTGCCAAACCAACTTCAACAAGACGTGAGGTTTTTCATTTTTTTTTTCCAGACACGATGATAGATTTGCCCTGATCCACTTATATTCCATTGCCTGTCCCCAGGGTGATCAATATCACGCAGCCATAAATGACTGACTGGGGGTTAAGAATGCTATTTGTGACCTTGATTCCCCTTATACTGGATTCTGCTGGAAGGTGACTAGGGAGGTTCCTCTTCTTTCAACATCATTTATTACTGAAGTATTAGATTGAACCATATGAAATGGATGTGTTTGTAGGTCAAAACAGTAGCATATCAGTTTTTTTCATTTGAACCAACCTAATACCAAAAGAATTTCTTTAAAGGGTTGTTTTGTCCATGCTTTCAAGAAACAGCGGTAACAACAGCCCAAAGTTATTCTTAGCGCTGTTACTTTCTGCTGCCTATTGATGCCTTTAGCTTGGAAAGTTGAAGTGGTTTTTCTGCCTTTTCTCTCTGTCTCCTGATTACTTCGCAAAATTGACTAAGAAAGAACAAATGTGTTTCTTTTATACCACCATGTTAAACATGACACAATTTCTAAGCCTAAACCTTCCTTCAAAAGTGTTTTGTTTGTTTGTTTGTTTGTTTAGGTTTTTGCCACAGCAGATATGTATTCACTGGAGAAAGACAGAAAGAGACAGAGAGACCCAAAGTGAAAACTCATCTCCCAGGGGGATGGCCATGCTACGATCCCTTCTCCTCCACTCTCCTCTCAGGGTTTTGAGCATACAAGCATACACACCCAGCATGATTTTCAAGCCATGGGGTTCAGGACTTGAACCTCAGTCAGCCATGTGGGAATCCAGGATTTTAACTACCATGCTACCTGCTGGGCCAATTTCTTTAATAAGTTTTTAGGGAAAGGATCTCATGACAACAACAAAAATTATGTCAGCTAGATGATTGCTGGTTTTTGCTGAATGAGTTACACCATGTCTGAAGTAATAAAATGTGTCCTCTGCAATCAGCCTGAGGTGGTTCTCAGTGGATGTGCATATTAGCAGTGAGTTACAGGTGTACAATTTGGAACAGGAAGAAGCCTATATAAAATGTTGGTCCCTGACATATCTCTGTGCAGGAATTTCCCAGGAAATGACAAAAGTATAGATGAATTCCACACTACCAATCTGAAAAAAATACACGGTTCTAGGTCATTTCCTGATTGGACACATTGGTATTAGGAAAAAAAATACTTTTTCAAATCAAGATAATGGATTCAGGGCCAGCAGGTGGCATGGTAGCTAAGTTCACGTAGGCTGGACTCCTACATGGCTGACTGGTTTGAGGTCAAGGACTTGTTTTCTCTCTCTCTCTCTCTCTCTCTCTCTCTGTGTCTCCCTAAGGGGAACACATGTGTTCTATAGCAAATTAAAATAATAATAATAATAATAATAAATAAAATTAAATAAATCATTCTTTTTAAAAAAAGATATAAAAGATAATGAATTCATTCATTATTTTGGAAAAGACCCCAAGTTACCCAGTTACCTGTTGAGATAATTTAAACTCCCAAATCATTCAATTCAATAAGAAATATTATATTTGACAACTAGATGATTGAAATGACTGCGGGACATTTTCCTAAATTTCTATAAGACCAAAACTCTTGGTATAGTAAACCTTTAATGCTTTAAGCCAAACCTAAAAAGATAAAACTCAGAGCCAGCAGGTGGTGTGGTGGTTAAGGATAGTAAGGTTAACATGGCCGACCACAATTTGAGTCCTGGACCTGGTGGCTTGCTTTCTTGCTCTCCCTTTCTCTCTGTCTCTCTCTGGTCAAATTAAAATAATAATAACAAATGGAATTGAGTAAAATAAATAATTATTTTAAAAAAAAGATAAAGTTCTTTTAGTAGATAGGAATGTGTCTAACTTCATCTTTTACTATAGACTCCCTCTATTAAACCAGAAAATATGTTTAATCTCTCACACATTAAATTTTCCAACCTGTGCAGTAGATACATAGATTAATGAAATGGACAGTTGCAAAATGCTCACAATGCATGAGCTTTAATTAATTAATGAATTTTGGGTTATGTCTCTAAAACTTATATTTGCATATAAGTGCTATTACATTTTTTTGTTTGTTTTTGGAGAGGTTTTTGCTATAGGACACATGCGCTCACCAGAAAGACAGAGAGAGACAGACAGAAAGGGAGAAATCAACCTCCAGGGGGGATGGCCACACCGCAATCCCTTCTCCTCCATTCTCCTCTCAGGATCTTGGGCACACACGCACATGTGCCCGGTGTGAGTTTAAGCCACTGGGTCTGGGACTCGAACCACAGTCAACTACTTGGAAGTCCAGCGACATAGCCATTACGTTAACTGCTGGTCCCAGTGCTATTACTTTTGTCACCATTTTAAAAAGAATTTTAAGAAGGCTTATCAGATCATTGTAAATACCTTTGAAAGTGTCAGATTCTGCACAGACAATGTAAATCGCAATATTAGTCATTACCAATACTTGACCCATTTTTAAGAATACTTTCTTTCCTCTGATTTGAAGTTGGAAGAGGGTTGACAGTAGAGTCTGGAAAGCAGGGCCCTCCTAGTACCTAAACCTGACAGTCTGTGGGTGGGAGAATGAGGCTTGGATTCACTAACCTCTGGCTGTGTTTCTTCCTGGAGCCTGGGATGTCCACTTTTTCTGGGAAGGCTGTAGCCTGTGACAAGATGACATGTCCTGCTCTACAGAGCGCTAGGACCCTGACAGCAATCTCAGGGGAAGAACATGGCTGCTCCCTAAGCTTTGTGGTAGGAAACATCTTATGAGCCTGACAGTGCCTTGGAGCCAGCCAAATCTGTTCAACCCACTAGTAGAGACGGTGGGCTGTCCATAGCATCATGGCATCTTAGGACCGTGTTTCAAACCCATCACCTTCCCTAGAGCCAAACTAGGGCACAGAACGTGAAAATGCGCCTAGCAACCAAGATAAATAAGATTTAAGAACATTAAAATTCCTGCAAAATATCTGGGATGAACGAAAAATCAAAATTGTAACTGTAGACAGGGTTGATGGTACTAATTTCTCCTCTTATCTCAGGCTCTGATACCCAGATGCTGTTACCAAGCCCTTCGCTGCCTCAAATTTTCGGAGCCTTTGGTGTCCCCTTCAATCGTGAGCCTGAGGGACGGCCTACCCACCCCAGCCTCCCTTTCTTTTACTTTGCCCTTTATTTTCTGACTAGCTCACACTCTCACTAGCTCCTGACCTCCCACATTCCTCCTTGCTAAATTTTGCCCTTTTCTTTCTATAAGCTAATCTCCACGAGGTCAGAGGTCGAGTCTGACTGACTGATAGCTGACTCCATAGTTCTTCTGCAGTGTCTGACGCGTTGTAGCTTTACCCAGTGGCCTTCATGGCTTCCTTGCGTGATTGTGTGAATGGAAAATGGCTCAGGCTGGACCCCTCCCTAGAGCCTGCCTCAGGGACACAGACCTCTTTTCAGGTTTCCCTGCACATTGGGGACAGGAAACCAGAAGTAATGTATCTTTTTTATTTTATTTATTTATTTATATTTTTGCTATAGGGCGCATACACGCGCCAGACAGAGAGAGAGAGACAGAGAGACAGAAAGCGAGAAATCACCTCCCCAGGGGGGATGGCCACACCGCAATCCCTTCTTTTCTATTCTCCTCTGGGGATCTTGGGCACGCAAGCACACACGCCTAGCATGAGTTTTAAGCCACCGGACCAGGTCCGGGACGCGAACCGCGATCGACTACGTGGGAGTCCAGCGACATAGCTATTATGCTAACTGCTGGTCCCAAGAAGTAATGTATCTTGAGGCTTATGAAAATCATTTTTATGAAAAAATGAGACTTAGGCGTATTTAAGAAGATTCAAATGGGAGTCAGCAAGACGAGCGCCCTTTTTTAAAAAAAAAAAAAAATTAAAAAGTAAGTTGATTTCAAAGTGATCTGTTTTACACCAGATGCAGAAAAGGCTATGGCAATTTAAGTGATTTAAGGTTTTTGTGTTTGTTTGTGTGCAGGAACTCCTGAGCTTTCTCAGATTTGAAAAGTTCAGAGCACTTACCTTCGATGGTGCACTGATCTGGGACAGGAATCTTCTTCCCAATTTCCATGGCATATGCTTTCACTTTACTGAGGTTCTCCTTTAAGTACAAGTAGAGCTCATCTTGGTATTCTATGGGACTTGAGGTTGTCTCTGGAGTTTCTTCCTGGAAGTTCACTCTAACAGTTTCTGGCGAATTCTCTGATTCTAGATGTATAATATTTGGGTGTGAAACTGAAGCATTTCCCAGCTGTGATCTGTCAGTGTCCATCTTAAAGGGCAACTCATCACTTTCTTGACCCAGTGGGTCTATTCCTGAGAGAGAGAGGCTGGCCGGGAGAGCTCCCCTCTCGACATGGTCCCCATCATCCGAACTCACACCCTTTGTGAGCACAGTGTTTAGAGCCAAACTTTTGGATCTACAATACAACAAAGGAAAAGTTTAAAATGTTGAGTTTGCATTCATTAACAAAGAAAAGAAATATTGGAACAAAAAGTTACTTCCTCTGGAATGGGACACTATTAATAGACTTGATAAAACATAAACTATCACCATATGATATAAACCAAGTCTTTGAAAATTTAGGTTACCTTTTCTAAAAACAAAGATTTTAAAATCAATTTCATGACCAAACTGGCTGTAAAATGGTAGACGTACATGTTTTTATTCTTTTTCTACTTTAGCCTCTGAATTTTTAAATCAGAAATCAAGAGAAATTATTGAGAGCCATTTTTAATACTGACATATCTATATTAAAAAGGTATTTAAAAAATAAGCCGTAAGGGACCAGCAGGTGGTGTGGTAGTTGAGGCACTAGTTTTCCACATGGCCAACTGCAATTTGAATCCTAGACCTGGTGACTTGCTTTCGTCCTTTACCTCTCTCTTTCTTTTTGTCTCTCTCTGGTGAGTGCACGTGCCCTGTAACAGATTTAAAATAATAATCATAAAGTTAAATAAGTAATTATTTTTTTGAGAGATTATTTGCGACAGGGCGTGTGCACTCGCAAGAAACACAGAGAGAGACAGAGAGACAGAAAGCAAGAAATCAACCCCTGGGCGCAGGTTAGCCATGATGCAATCCCTTCTCCATTCTCCTCTCAGTATTTTGGGCTCATACGCACACGCACCTAGTATGAGTTTAAGCCACCAGGTCCAGGTCTTGAACCACATTCGACTACATGGGAGTCCAGCGATATAGCCATTATGCCAACTGCTGGTCCCAAATAAGTAATTATTTAAAAAAAATAAGCCATGAGTTTCTTTTCTAGGTGTAGTCTCCATTTAAAATAGTGAGCTTCTCTGGATAATGTAAGCACTGTGGATATTTCACTTGTGAAAGACAGAACTTTGGGTGGCTATAGGTAAAATATATATATATATATATGTGTGTGTGTGTGTGTGTGTGTGTGTGTGTGTA